ACATGATATAACCCGGACGTTTTAAGGACTTTTCAGGAGTTGATGAGAATAAAAGTTTAGACCGGGATGTTTCCGGGACCTACTAGACCCGGACGTCCTTCAAAAGTTTCAACCAAGCCTACTAGACCTGGATGTTTTCAAGACCAGGACATGAGATGACCGAGACATTCTAAAAGGAATTCCTAAGAGAGGGCCAAGCAAGAAAACAACCATGCAAGTCTAGCCAAGCAATTTCAGAGGAGGACCAAGCAAGAAAACAACCATGCAAGTCTAACCAGTCAACTTCAAAGGGGGACCAGGAAGGAAAATAACCATGCAAAAAATTTAACCATTCAAGAAGTTCAACCAAGCACAAAGGAATACGACCCGACCATGAAAGCCTCCTTAATTGGTGACCCTTCCATTTGAAGAGGGCCGGCGTTCTTTTCCATAGGACCCTCCCCACTCTTATGTAAACCCTTCCACTCTTGGGACTTAACCCAGTTATCATATGAGATTTGCATCATATAACCGGGTACTTGACTGGTTACTCTTGAAGGGGTGTGCACCGGGCACTTGACCGGGTACTCTAGAAGGACTAGGAGGACTTACGTTGCAGAAGACCGGTTAATTATTTAGAGTTTACATTTAGATTTCCCAATAATTCAAAAGTGATAGGTCTGAGAAGAAGACTTGATGATTACCAAAGTGCCAGGTCTGATGATCTCCAAAGTACCAGGTCCGATGAACCCCAAAAGCGCCAGGTCTGATGAACTCCAAAGTACCAGGTCCGATGAACCCCAAAAGCGCCAGGTCTGATGAACTCCAAAGTGCCAGGTCCGATGAACCCAAAAAGCGCCAGGTCTGATGATCTCCAAAGTGCCAGGTCTGATGAACCCCAAAGCGCCAGGTCTGATGAACTCCAAAGTGATACGTGTGATGATCCGCAAAGTGCCAGGTCTGAGGAGCCCCAAAGTGGACAGGTCATGGGAATGACTTGATGATTTCAAAGAAAGACAGGTCATGTGAATGACTTGATGATTTCAAAGAAGGATAGGTCATGAGAATGACTTGATGATTTCAAAGAAGGACAGGTCATGAGAATGACTTGATGATTTCAAAGAAGGACATGTCATGAGAATGACTTGATGATTTCAAAGAAGGACATGTCATGGGAATGGCTTGACGATTTCAAAGAAGGACAGGTCATGGGAATGGCTTGACGATTTCAAA